TAAATTGAGTATTTATAAGAAAATCATTTACGTTCCGTTAAATACATTCTTTAATAGATTTAACTCTATAAGAATTAGAAAGAAATAAAGTTTAATATTAGCGTTAAGTTTCTTTTTCGTGAAATCTGAATAGTTTTACCACAGAAAAATTAATGTAATATTACCTGGCGATTCTACTTTAATTAACACTTCTTTTTGAAGTCAAAAGCCTACTGAACTATACAGAAAAGTTCCATGTATCATAGTCTACTTTATTAAATGTATATTTAAACACAATCAATGAAACAGCATTACATGAAGTAACTTTAATATAATTTGACCTTGTATTACAACATTGAAATTAAGTTTGTTTGTTTTTTTCTTATCTCTTAATTAATTCAACTTATGCATATTTTGTCCTTAATTTGTTCTGTTAAAATCTTTGGTAAATTTCATAAAACATAATTTCTTTTGGGCAAAAACAATGTGGTTTACGTTTAGTTTGATATTTTAGAACCCAAATGACATACTGTTTAATGAGATCGAGAACTGAAAACTTTATAAAATTGGGATTTATATGACGACACTCGAGATATTTTAGGATATAAAACTACTATTATGTTTGTCTTTTCTTGAAAATGTGATTAGAATGATTACATAAAATCGTTGAATGTACTTGTTTGTAAAGTTTGGTCCTAAATGTTTTATAATTTATCGGGCTTATGTTGTTGAAATTCAAGAACAAATTGCTCACACATTTATGAAAAACTATATTTAATCGTTTTTCATCCAAGTAATACACGATTTATGATAGATATTGCACGTGGAAGGTAATGCAGAATTAACTACCTCACAGAATAAAGCTGTATCTGTGTTGAAACGATTATAGAACAATTGTAATTTCACGTTTATTCCAGAAGAGCGTTGTATTCCAATAAGTATCTCAAACTTGTTGATCTTTGCAGTCAATAGTCACATTGAACAATGTTGTAATCAGTCGTTATACATATCGCTGAACTTCAACTCAACACTCCATGTCAACGTGAACATTGAATCAGCACTTTAATCATGTTCTACATTATCCAGCAAGTTCCCATTGTTGAAACAAGTTATCACGTTCGTTCCAACACTGAATCAGCACTATAATGGTACCTCACAGTATGCAAATGTTCTGGATCTTCAAAACAGTTTACTTGTTCGCGTCAACAGTATCATTATGTTCAACAATATCTACTAATTGTTTTATTTCTACACAAGTTTCATTGTAAACCAGGAAGCACAAAATGTAATGTTGAAGTTTGATTATTCACTGCTCTGCCAAGGATACAAACAGCGCAATTATTTCAAAATTGAATTAGTAATACACCTTCAAGGTCACATTGAAATACTTTTTTTATATCAATATGTTTAAAGTAAATAGAGTAAAATTCATCAAGATATAATTATTATAACTCTAACTTTACAAGTAGAAACTCTAAAGCATTCAAAATTAAAACACCATCTGTTGTAACTTATAAGATTAAATATACTATCATATAAATTTAATACAAAAAATATTTGCAGCTAAAAAAATGGTCGAGTCTACATTGATCCCGTATCAGGTCCACAAGAACATTGAACATTCTGCCAGCTGAACGTCTTCGAGAAACCTAGTAAGAGTTAGTATTGTTTTGAATTGCTGAAACTTTATATTCTTGAGGTGATGCATTAAATTACAGAATAACATCGTTACTCCAACTGACAACTGCTTCTCACTTTCCAAATTTCTCACTTATGATATCTTCACTTTCAAACATTTCATAACCTTATACCATTTAGATTTGTTTGTTTGTTCTGAATTTCGCGCAAAGCTAAACGAGGACTATCTTCGCTAGCCGTCCCTAATTTAGCAGTGTAGACTAGAGGGAAGGCAGCTAGTTATCACCACCCACTGCCAACTCTTGGGCTACTCTTTTACCAACAAATAGTGGGATTGAATGTCACATAATAATGCCCCCACAGCTGAAAAGGCGAGTATGTTTGGTGTGACAGGGATTCGAACCCGCGACCCTCAGATTGTGAGTCGAGTGCCTTAACCACCGGGCCATTCCGGGCCCCTGTTACTAGTACTAGGAGCATTGTAACTTATGTCAAGAAAGAGACAGAAAAATAGATATTCTTTGTAACTACTAAGCCCTGTGAATATCATATGAGTATCATTTTCAGGTTTCGGTGATCATGATATTAATAGGTAACAAACATAAATGTGGTTTGTATTTATAAGAAACACTGAACATCATTTGGATGTAAACAAAACTATAATGAATAGAATGAAACTTTGGTAACTTTTTTTCAAAAGGAACTAACTTATTAAGAAAAAAGAGCTAAAGTACTATTAAAAGCTTCAGTCACTATTAATAAACCACAGAAGGTAACTTCAAAATAAGGCCAACATTTTCATTTTACCTTTTGGAAGCTTTGAATCAATAATAAGAAATCGTAATGGCATTGAACCTTTCTTCATTAAATGTGATCCACTTTTCTGAACGACTTCTCCAAAATGTTATTTTAACATAATAA